GAAAGAAAGACACAGAAGCCTCAGAAAGAAAGAGATAAAAGTCTTAGAAAGAAAGAGGCAGAAGTCTCAGAAAGAGGCAGAAGCCTCAGAAAGAAAGAGACAGAAGCCTTAGAAAGTAGCAAGAGTGAATATCACAGATCTTGATAAATTTATCTTTCAGCAGCTGAAAACTGAAGTCTTCAGTGTCTATTCATTGAAAGATCTTATTAACTTTCAGCAGATTTATCATTGATAGAGCAACTTTGCTATAGCAGTGTATAAAGTAGTAATAGAAGTTACAGAATCTCAGAAATTCATGAATATTTTAAATAGATCTAGAAATAAGCTAAAATACTATAGCTTCTACACACTTTGAGTTCATTCTTGTACTGTGACAGCTGATTATATAGCTCATGAAGTCAATTTCTTTCTATAGAAAGCAGTATTTGAAGAGATTATATATTAGTCAGATCTGTCTGAGTTTCTGAAGTATCTTCTGAATGTGTTATTAATGAGCCTCTGAACTGTTATCTTTTATATATATAATAACATTATCTATGTAGATCACAGTGAATTTATCTATGTATAAAAGAAGAGCTGTCTGAATATACTGTTGAAAGTGACTGAGAGAGTTACAGAGACTGAAGAGAATAATCAGATATTCATAATTTCTATAACATATTTTAAAAGCTGTGAGATGTTCATAACTCTCTGTAATTTGTAGCAGATGAAAGACATGAATCAGATCTAGCTTTGTGACTCAGTGAATTCTGTTAAATCTTTTCAGAAGCTCTGAAATTAAAGATATTATATATTGATTTTTGACTGTGATTATATTTAGATTTCTATAGTCAATATAAAATCTTTTAGAGCTATTCTTCTTGAGAGTAAATAATACTGAGAATGTATGAGAGCTTTTACTAGACTGAATAAATTCTTATTTCAAATTCTCATCAATGTACTTCTTCAGAAGCTGTAGTTTCTTCTCACTCATATTATATAGTAAACTCTTCTTGAGAGTCTTATTATTTATCAAAGTTATCTTCATATCTGCATCAGAACAGAGAGAAAGAGAGTTTACTGTAAGTAGATGAAAAACATTCTGAAAATTCTCTAACTGAGATGACAGAGTGTCTGATACTGATTATATTAGTTCAGAGAATTGTAATCAGACTATAATGAGAATTATTTCCTCTCTGAGAAATTCTCATAACAGAATATCTTCTACATGTTATTAATATATCTGAAATCTGTTGAATATCTGGCCTATGTCTCAATGAATGTCAGAGTTCATGTTATATAGCCAGAGCATGTCTAGAATAAGAGATAAGGTCATTAATATAAGACAGAAGTAGTGTATAATCAGCTGTTTATCAGAATTCAGCAGAGTAAGTTTATAGATAAAGAAAGCTGTTTAATATGAGTAATACTATAGATTCTTCAGAGAGATCTCTGTTACTAATATTTTAACAGCATTTAATACTTCTATCACTTTTAAGATTATGATATTTAACTCTGTGCTAGAGTTAACTAAGGCTGAAAGAATGACACAGCTGAGGTATTTTATACTAGAAAGAGTGTTGAAGATGTGATATATAAGATATATTATATTGTTAAGAGCTGAGACAGTAATAAGAATTAATATATTATAGCAGATGATCTTCATGAATAAGATGTATTTATTAATCTATTAAGTGAAGAGATTGACTTGAGACTTGTCAGTGTATATAACTGTTTCTAATGATATACTGATTTATTTTTTGATTTAAGAGAGAAGAATGAAGAGTATATAACAGCATAATCTGAAGAGACTGTATGTGAGTAATTATTAATAATCACAGATATAGAAGTACTCTGACAGTTATAAGTCTCTACAGATAAGTGTATAGAGACTGATATTAGATGAGTGCAGCATTCTGCTATTCAGTGTCTTATTTATCTGTATTAGATGCAGACATCTTCATATTAATGTTTTCAGTATTTATTATCTATGATATCTGAATTCTTGTTACTATTACATGATGATCTGAAACAATCTCTATTAACAGTGATATTAGAGATTATATTATCTCATGTAAAATTGAATTTAACTTGACAGTTCTGTGAGATAAGTTAATATAATATGAAAATATAACTCTCTGTTATTATAACTGTCTTCTTTCATTCAGTGAAGAATACTGATTAAGTATTAAAGTAAGCTTGATTAATCTGATAAAGAATTGATATTATCAACTTAATACAGAATGTAATATATAGTGTAGAATTATTTCACTTCAAGTCTACTATAATAATCTCAAAGTCAGTAATAAAGTTCACAGTATATTAATTATATTATATATAAAGAGAGTTTATTTATAACTCTGTAGTAAGAGTTATATTAATCTTCTAATAATTATCACAGAGTTATATCTTCAGAATATCTCAGATAATGATATGTATATTATATTTTATTTATATTCACTGAATATATTAATAAATCTTAGAGCTAAGATAGCTGATGTTGAAAGAGATTTTAAAGACTTCATTAATAATAAGATATTCACAGATATTATTATTTATATTCAGTAGTTAGAAACAGATATTACTAGTCTTATCAAAGATATCTAATTTATGCAATTTCATCTTAGTAACAGTGATTATAAGTTAATAATAAATTAGAACTGAAGACATATCTTTCATATAAGTAATAACTTTCAGTATTTTTAAACATCAGATCAGTTATGTATTGACATCAGTTATTTAATAGTTCTAAGTAATTAGTTCATTAACTTGATCTGTAAGAGCTTGAATTTGTGTAATTTGACTGAGTGTCATTTTTTTTGCTGCAGAACACTGTGTATGAAGATATAGAGAAAAAAAAATGCTGCAGATCTATAACTGATAGTGAGATGAGAAAATTCAGTAATGTTACAGAATAAGAATTAACTTTATCAGAGTGAATAGCAGCAGTATACTAGATTATATTGAAACTGAATCTTGAAGAAGAAGAGGAAGAAGCTATCTAAGCTAGAGATGAGTGAGTGGATATGGGGTGGCGAGGCTTGTGTGGGTCACCTGACCATGCCCTATGCCCTAAGATCCTTATAGTCCACGAGTTCCACGCTAAAGCGGGAAGGGTAGAGAGTCACAGATCTCTTAAGCGGCGTGGGAGATCACTCTTGAAGAGCCGCTCCATTTAGTTACAACCTGTTTATGTATTGATTCAACTTGTTCCCGTCCCATCTTTGCACTGGGTAAATGTCAAATGATACACCATTATTTCTTTTCTGTACAAACTCACACGTAATTATAGATGTTTAAACTCTAGCCCTGCTGGAAGAAGTTCTGAAGTTGAATGATCTTCAATTTTAAATTCCGCCTGCCTTATCACGCCGCCCACTATAAAGTCTGCTCGAATCCCTGAATGTTGGCCCCCCCCCCTCCTCCGTGGCTCCCTGCACTGTCAGGTCAGCCTTGCCCTTGTGGCAATTATAAAAGACGCCTAACCACCATATAAAAATTCTCTATTGCTGCCGTATGTGCGTCTTCTCCCTTTTCTCTATTTCTAACATTGGCAAACAACGGCCTCATCATCGTTCCTATTAACCGGTCCAGCTCATTACCACAGATCAGGATGGATCTTCTTTCTCAGAATATCATTCATAATCTGCAAGCGGAAATTGAGGATCTAAAAGCTCGGCTCCGCGCAGTCGAAGCTGAGAATCAACAACTATGATATCAACAGGCTACATGTTTCCCTCTCATGGAACTGCCACCTGAAATACGGGTACTGTACTTGTTTGGAAGGATGCACTCCCCAATCGACGTGTTCTTCGCATAAGCGAATTACCTGCAAGTGGATATGAATCAGGTGAAAAAATGTTCTGCTCTGCCCGCCCGCTGGTACTTCTCCATGTATGTGTTGAATCTCGCGAAGTTGCTCTCACTCATTTTAAGCCTTTCTTCAGGGAGAAATGTGAAAGCAAAATGCCTAGACCCATATACTTCTGCCCCAAGCTCGACATTTTATACATCGATGTCAGGACCCCAGATGACATCTCAGAAGAATACCCCGAAGTAAATGAAATTGAGTTGATAGCCATCCAAATCCGGCCTCTCAGAAGCATAGACTTGAGAGGCATGATGACAGGCATGATGAGCCTTTTTTTGGTTACAGCCTTGGAAGAGCCATGGCCATTGAATCAGTGCTGTTCTATCATTGAATTATCACCCGATCCTGCTCGCAAGGAAAGCAAGTTGGAATGAACTGATTACATTTCCAGGATGAGGCGCCGCGATCGCAACAACTTTCCTCTGTTACCCAAATTTCCCAACATACAACACGTTGAAGCCGTCGTCGGGAAGCTCGTCCGTAACAATTGCTACTTGGACTGAGTCAGACTCACTAGTTGCGATGGCGCTGGCCTTTCCTACCTCGTGATCACCAATAGAGGATGGCGCAGGGACAATATGCTAGGGCTTTCTTTGTTTATATGTAACACCTCGCGAAACAGCTCTTCTCTTTCCTTCTCCTCAATAGAAATTGAGGAGCAGAACAGTCAATGGAGAGGGGGAGGGATGACTCTTATCAGAGATATGGAACATGATGCCGAGTCTGGTGACAGTATCAATTTCGGCTCTGATTTGTTCCGTGCTTTTTCTGTCTTGAATGTTACCCGTTTGCTTTGGTTCCCTTTGTTTGATCTTTGTTTGCTTAGCACATTTGAATCCGGCCCACGAGCTCCATTGACATTCCAGCCGAGGGTCTATCTTGCCTGCGTCCCATGGTACAGTATTTATATTGTGTGTGTTTGTTTGCTCGTCGCCCTCATTTCTTTGTCTCCCACTTTTGTTTTGCTTCGAATCATTTGTATTCGCGTATTTTGTCTAAACTCTAGAGAAGAAGTTGTACTGATCTGAAAACAGCCAATAACAATTCCTTGCCTTAGGATATATATTATATATTAATCATTTACATAATTTAAGCAATATCCATATCAAACACCTAGTTCAGTGGGTAAGTTAGTAGGTAGACATCTCATCTAGACAGTCACCACTTTCCCCACATCGAAACCCCCAGCCTGCTTGAAGTAATATCCACGCTGATTGCTCACAATTCTCTTTCCATGTCCACTCCCTTGCTGCATCGTGAAGTCGAAATTGAAGTGCGTGTGCCCGAATGCCCACATGCACACTTTTTCATTTTTGAAACACTCCTCCCTGCTCAAGTCGCTGGCAAATCCAGAGCCAATAGCGCTCCCAGAATGTGCTGGGTCAAGCGCTCTCGGATCTTGCGTGATTGGGCTATGGTGGGTGAAAATCACGATATATCTTCCTGGCTCAGAAGTAGAGATGGTAGCGACTTGGTTGTTCAGCCACGCCAGATCCGCGGCATGAGCATTGTTATGGTCCCCAATGGTCCAGCCATCAATATAATAAAAGTCATTTAGGCCAAAACTGACTCTCTCCTCCTGCCCTGTGGAAACGTGCGAGTAAAGCGTGCATCCAAGCACGGTCACGCTGTCAGAAACATCGAAGCGCGTCTGGTCTAAAAAGATGAATTTCCCAAGGCCCAAAGTCGGATCGTGTTCCGCCCGTTGACACACCTCACGTGAAAACTCAATAATTTGGCGTCTCGCTTCGGCCCAACTGGAATGATATGGCTCATGATTTCCAAGAAGAAAGAAGATGATTCGGAAGTTGTGCAGCTGTGCTTCGATGAACGAGAAGAAACCTGGGTCACGAACGTTGCCGATGTCTCCTAGGAGCGCGAGATGAGTCGCTTTGCTGGGGATTTCGAAGATGTCGTAGGCAGCAGGAGACTCGAGATGGAGGTCGGAGAGAATTTGAAAGGACACCATGCTGATACGTCAGAAAGTAGTAACAGAAAAGGAATCTTGGGAAAAATGAAAATTGGCGAGTTGGAAAAGCGAGGCGGCGAGGCGACACGCGTCGGCTAAATAAATTAAAGTTGTGACAATGCTTACTACCAGGACACAAGCAACACTTCTGTTGTTTTCAGTCCCCCCAGATACATATTTCGCATAAATCGTAAGGCTCAGGGATGAAGATTACCGAGGGCTTAACTATGTCTTTGGCGAATGCGTATATTGCTTCTCATAACTGTTACAAAACAGATATGCTATCTCCCAACTGCATTCGGAATATCTACACAAGTTACGCTACCACCTCGCAGGCCACCTCCCCTCGCGTTTCGCGAATCGGCAGGCATATCCCTTGTCAGAGCTGCAGGGCGCTAGTCCACCAGCTTGAATGTCGACCACTCAAAGCACCAACATCTTCGATGCCAACACGCACTGCCTCTTTCTGATCATGGGTAAGTACAATCGGACCGTGCTTCAACAGCATCTCTGCCACTGTCAGGGCATCTTGGGCATCGCGAGACTTCTTTGCAGCAGTCGGACGCATACCACAGGTGTTTATCTTTAGGGCGAGCAGGTCCAAGGGGGTAATGTAGGGAAGGTTTGTCGAGTTGATCGAGCCGATCATTGTAGCAGCTGCAGGCACATATGCAGACTGGATTGTTCATCGGGCAGGTGGTTAGATGTGGAGAAACCAGATGGACAGCAGGAAAATACCCACCTGCCACTCTGGGGTAAAATCAATCTGGATGTTCTTGCCACTCGGGTGTTTGTAGACGACGAACTGAGAAAACTCCGCGAAAGAGGAATTGGGCATCTGGACGGGAGTTTCAGCAAATGGAAGTTCATGCAGCTGCTCCCCAACAACGCCTCCTTCAACAGGTGATTGGACATGGATGACATTTTCATCATCGCCATGGCTTGGTAGTTACCAATCGTAGGCAAACAACCGGGGTTCGAGGCCGCAGAGTTCGATTTATGTCGCTGGTCGCATAGTTAAGGCTATCGGACGATGATTATGGTTTGGGATATGATTTACTGTTCTCTATCTGGCGCAAGCCCACCTTGTTTGATTTTTTCTCGTACATGCGTCTTATGTCCCTCTTTGGAAAGTTTAACAAGTTAGTAAATCAAAAGTAAAACAACCCAACTCGGTACATGAGCATCCACGGACTCCTGAGCCACTGAGGGGTGGCGTTGACTAATCCAGATCATTGGTTGCTTGAGCTGTACAGTTACCCAAATATGGGTTAGTCGGCATAGATTAGATTAGATTGTCCTGTGCCGACTGACCTGTACCAAATACAAACATAGAGCAAGCAGTCACAAGTCCTTCACTGGTCTATGACTTTTGACCGAAGTACGTTACCCTGTAGGTACGAACCTTAGCAGGTTCTGCGGCAGACAAACCAGTACACTTCTTGACCTATGCTGACTGTTACAAAATTGATGCTGGCTTTCCCTTCAGGGCCAATCCATGGCTGCCGTCAATCCCGTCATCCTTTCCGCCCGTCAGTCATCCCATCCAGTCGCCCGTCAATCCCAGCTAGCACACTCTGAGACCCATTTATTTTCACTGTGAGAGAATCCCGTCGATGAAGCAACCGCGGTTTCCACTACCACAAGGCCACTGGTGCAGTAAGTGCCACCTCCAAAACACTGGATCCCTCACAGCCAAGCTCGCTGCTTCAACCTCCACCCCGAAGATGCACCACCTGAGTGGGATCCCTGGGCCGTTAAGAAAACGTTGCAGCTCAGCACCCCGTCCATGTCGTGCGGCTTCGGAAAGCCACTCATGGGAGGCCCGCTACCGCATCCGAGATATCCTTGCCAGTGCAAGACAACGTAAGGATGTCGGAGCTTGAATTTCAACCGGATTGAGACAGGAACTGCACCGGTGGCAATTTCCAATGGCACAATATTTGAACCAGACAGAGGCAAGGGGGCTTGGGCTGGGATTGACACCGGCACTGGCGTTTAGCACCCGTTCACCCATTACGCCCGTCGACCATTACGCCCGTTCATCTCTACGCCCGTCGACCATTACGCCCGTTCATCTCTACGCCCAGCCATCCAAGTTAATAAAGGTCCACAAAGTACTGTGTGAGCTGTGGTGGTTCTGCGAAGGAAGGGAAAATATATAAACCGCAGCCCATGACGCAAGATGCCCACTTTTTCGGCCCCACGATCGAAAGCATACCTCAAAACCATTGGGGTTATTTTACTGTTAAATGCAGTCACACTGATCATTCAAAAATTATGATAATTTTTACAGTACTGTACACTACTAAATTCGTTGCCCTGCATTTTGCACAAGGCAACGGGCCGTACCACATTCTTCTGGTTCTAGTACTGGCTAAAAGATCGAAACCATCCTCCACCCTTACTTATTGGTCGGGGACGAAACCTGTTTGAACGTTGAAATTCGCCATGTTATGGTTGGCTTTCGTATTTGTTAGTTATGATATCTTCAGATAGCTGAGATATATTTTCGTCAATGGATGGCCAACCGTAAGGCAAAGAAACAACAAACAAGATATTTCATTTATTCACATTTATTCTCAAGTTTCCCTTGCTTTCCCCTCTAGACCTGATATTTCGTGTAGCTCTCGCATGTTGTTCGGGGTGGAGGGGGTAATTCCCCTGTTTCTGTAAGCTGTACCGGACATGGCACTCACTATCTTTGTTGGTGGTGGAAAGGCGCTGCTCGAAGCATCAGACTTTGGGAAGAGATCTCAATTTATAGCTACGAGTGTTTTCTAGAAATAAAGTGGGCTCCATTGAGCCAAAAAGTCACTTCTTAAAATATCCAGCAAAATTCAACTTCGAAATCAAACTCTAGCCAAAATCAATCTTGAACCACTAGTCAGCAATTCTCGGGCGTAATGGTCGACAGGCGTAATGTTTTCCAGAAAGAACGGAATCGGCGCTGCGCCAGCGGGTGTCTACGCTTCGGAAACAAGAGAGGGGAATGCCCAGATCATCACCAATGACCATCAACAGCATAGAACCTATCGTCAAGAACACAATATCCCCCATCAATCAGGCGTCGACGCGCCGAAATCCCACCCTCCGAACCTCAAGAAACACCAAACATACAGCCCCAGTACAGAAAGGAATTTGTGCCCCCTTTCAACGTACGCCCCTTGGATGGAAAGTGGACTTGGTCCCTCCACTTTCTTGCCCGACAACAGTTTACGGAATCAGAGAGTCGGATCTACGCGATGAGACACGGATTAGAAGGAACAGATACGACCGAAACAGCAACAGAATAGAATCTATCTTCAAGAACACAATACATCCTGCCAACAACATGCCAATGCGCCGAAAACAACTCCCAAGCCTCATGAAACACCAAACATACAGCCCCAGTACACGAAGGGAGTGTCGGCCCTTTCACATACACCCTATGATGGAAAATGAACCCGGGGGTTTCATTTTCCTGCCTGACAATAGTTTACAGCAATGGAGATTGACAATCACGCGATAGAAAGCAGAATAGAAGGGACAGATATGGTCAACAACAAAACCACCAACAGCTTCAAACATACCTTCAAGAACAGGTCACATTGAATGACATTGTCAGCTTGTGTGATAGTATGTATATACTAGGGCCCCAAGAAGACACGGCCGGATTCACATCAACAAGCATGTCACACACATCACAGAACTTAAATGGCGGTCACATCGGCATCTCGAATTACACAAACATACAGAATCAGGAAAGAGCTAGGCCTCAAAGTACTCACATACACGGATACTGCTACTTTGCCTATTTGAGCTTGCATACATGTATATAGAAGTCAAGGAGGGTCAGGAAAGGCCTGACAAGTGCATAGATACAGAACTGATAGAAAGATTATTGGTAGAGGGGTATCTGAGCTTGAGCAGAAGGGAAGCAATTCGGATCACGAATAGCTTGGTCTCGGAAGCAAGAGCGGGAACACCTGTATTTATAGTCGTACGCTGCATAACTGCCTGCGGGCGGTTGGGACAGTCTATGAATCAATCAATCAATCAGAAGTAGTCCCAGAGCAGAAGTAGTCCCAGGGCAGAAGTAGCCCCAGGGCAGAAGTAGTCCCAGAGCAGAAGTAGCCCCAGGACAGGAGCAGTCCCAGAATAGAAGCAGTCCCTTCCCTGGATGGTTCGTGTATGCTTTGTAATTCCTTTAAGTTTTGTGAGAATAAACAGAATCGCGCTGGCACTCAGCAGGTGTTTTATATCTAAAAGAATCATATAACTATTCTTTGATGAAATGAAATAAGGTAAAACTGAGATAAAAATAGAAGTACTGTAAGAATCTTCAATCTTACTCATTTTATTTATAATATACACTGCATATCTATTCAAGAATAGAGATATGAAAATAGTAAGATCTTCAAGTTATATGAATGATATTGATCTAGTCTACAGTTCAAAAACAATCAAAGAGAATTTAGAAATGATTGAAAAAGTAGTAAAGAAAATCTTTGTTAGAGCAGATATCAATCAAATTTAATTTAATATGAATAAGACTGAGTTAATTCATTTCTTTTCTAGATTCAATAAGAAAAAACTATGTCTAACTCTTTTAAATAGAGAGATTCTCAACTGAGACAGAAATTAAATACTTAATAGACTTTCTATCAGAAACTCAAGCAGCTATAAGAAAATGACTAAATTCAGAAATATCTGAATATGAAGAGAAGGAAATTGATCATTATTATTATTATTATTATTCTTCCATTATACTCATATGCAAGCGGAGCTTATGATGAGTCCTTGCGTGATGTTAAATACAGGCCAAGTGTTGGTTATACAGGAGGAAATACAGGTGTTGAGACCACGCCAAGATAACAAGAACATAGGAAATACAAAGGAGTGACAATTAGATACATGCGATAATAACTTCCCAGCCCAGGAACATAGAGCGATTTTATTGGAGCGATTTGTACACCTCTGTATTTATTAGGAACCTGAGGTGCTTGGGTTCCGGATTTAATGTATCCCCTGCGGGTTTCGAACCCACACGCCTTGGTTTCCCACGCCAAGGCGCTACCGGGTGGCCGCATTAACCATTCGGCCACCGGGGCGAAGGAAATTGATCAGATATAGTCTGTTAAAACAGCTATATACTATCTTTTAATAGTTTATTTTATTATAGTCTCTCTTTACTTTACTTTTTTCTTTCTATTCTTTTCTATCTATCTATTTAATGTGTTTATCTTTAAGATTGTATTCTCTTTTCTTTTGTCATGATATTGTCAAATGATTTCAAAGTATCAGAAGATGTTAAAATACTGCAATTTATAAACAGTTTTTGTATTCTGAGCTGAAATTTTCTGATTTTGCATATCTGAAATTGATAAATATATAATAGTTGACTTTATAGATATAGGAAAAACTCTGAGAACTAAAAGTTCTCAGATAGATGTTATAGTCTCTGACTACATACATCTATAATTGAAGAATAATAATAATAATAATACTGAAGGTTATAATATCTTATGACTGAAGATTTAATTATTGTATAGTAACATAGACTGCTGTCTATCATAACTTTTATATTATATATATTATTCATTACAGTAGATACAAGAATTGTATTCATTGTTATTTTCTCTTTAAATTATTATTATCTGACCTCTTCAAGCTTCTGCTTGTGAATTTGAATAGAAGCTAATCTTTTCTCTGTTTCGCTGAAGTGTTCTTATAGTTATCTTTCAAATCCTTCTTCAATGTGACATGATTGGCATGAAATGATGAATTCTTTCTTAGAATAAGATGATATATAAATTGATTAACAGTTAAAAGTAATATATTCTAATCAGTTATAGTTGATGCATACTTCTCATTGATATTAATCAGTGACTTCTTCAGAAGCAATTTCAGAAACTCAGAAGCTTGTTCAGACAGCAGAGACTCTTATTTATATATAGATATTTAAGTCTACTCAATTCATGATATCTGTATTATTATTATTATTCTTTGATGCAGATGTATAAGTGACTGAGATGTAACATCTTCTACTGCTGTTCTGTATACTCTTAAGCTTAATAAGATGATTATTCAATATTCAGAGTTATATACAGAAGTCTTTATAAGTCTGATCTTTATCTATACTTATAAGAGTCTGTAGAAGTTTGAAAGTTAGTGTCTTCTTAAGCATGCTAATCTTTATTAATTGTAACGTGGTGGAACCGAAGCAGTGACTAGTCAGCGGTGACATGTAGAAGTAGTTGTTTGAGAAGCTGTATAAGTGAGCTTGACTATCTTACTTGAATAGTGAGCTCATAGACTACAGAGTTATTGTGAGAATATCACAGATATGATACTTAGTATACTAAGAAGATTATATGAGACATGCAGTAACTCTTGTATATATCTCAGTAGCAGTAAAACAAATCACTGACTTCTTTGATAAGAAGCCAGCATCTAGCTATTCTATATAGACAATGAGTGAATACTCTTCTCTCATTTCATGAGTGAGAATAGCCAGAGTAATATCTCAGCAGTGCCTCATTGTCAAGAAAAAGTAATCTGCTGACCTTGTATAGAAGCAGAATTCTTATATTCATCAATCAGATCTTTCTATGATATATTCAAATAATATCATAGAGTGATTGAAAACTAGTTTAAATGAGATGAAATCATTCACATGAAAGTGATGAGCTGTGTGAAACTGTAACAGAGTCTTGACACAGCTGAAAGCATGATAATATTCTTCTCTTTAAGAGTATAGTCTCTATGCTCTCAAGATTACTGAATTAGAAATTATCTTTGTTGTATAGTAATGATTGTCAACTGATTGACAGTGTATGTACTGCATGTGATATAAAGAAATAGATGAGTTTTTCTGCTGACTGCATAGATCTTTCTTTTCTCATCATCATTCAAACTAAACATGTGATAAGTGAGTTTCTTATATATCAATTTGAAATGTGAAAAATATAGTTAACAAGTGACTTACAGATCTCTCATTATATACTGTTCTATGTATGAAATTCTCTGTAAAAGTGATGTATTTTAGAGACAAAGCTAACAGTAGTAACAGGATTTTTTAAAAAGATCTCTTTCTCTGTGAAACATTTTTCTTTCTCTCTCTTCAATTGTAACAGTGAGTGCATGAGAGTATCATTCTTGAAGAATAATCAAGGGCTTATTCTGATGTTTTCTAGTGAGTAGCAAATGTCTTCATGATGCAGCAGCGGCCTCTGTGACTGTTAAGAAAGCCAGGTTGAAGGTGAAGACAGTGATGTCAATGAGTCATGAGAGTACTGCTTTCATTATCACATCTTCTTCTTCTCCTGCTTCTTTTACAGCTGTGGTGATAGTTACTGTGTCTTGCAGTGAGATATTATTTCTTCTACTGATCAGTTCATCTGTATTCAGTTCATTCTCTGCTTCTCTTACTACTGTTGTAACACCATCTTCTCTCTCAGTCAATACAGTAGCATATGACTCTGTGTGATCATTTGAAGAGGAATCTGAGAAGAGCTTAATTCTGAGAACAGTGACTCTGAGAAGCTCAATTCATAGTTTCTCTCTCACAGCATGTCTGAGTCCTGCTCAGAATGCTGCTAAGTTGAGTCTGCAGAGTTCTGTGATTTCTTTATCTTCTCTCTGTGAGAAGGCTCTGATGTGATCTCTAACTGGCATCACTACTTGTCTGCACTGCATTAAACAGCTGAAGAAGAAGAGAATTTTATACATCTGTCTCTTCTCTCACTTCTGTTATTTTCATTGCATCTGTAACAATAACTTCTGTCTCTCTGTAAGTATTATCTCACAGAAAGATGTTGTATCAGTTCTGATAAGAAGTCTAGATACTCAAGCAGTATAGAGTGAGAATCTCAGAGCTTCAAGTGTTGATAAATTCTGTCAAGACTGAGAAGATTCCTCTTACTCATCTGTAAAAGAAGACAAAAGTATGAGTCTCTGAGATGAAAAAACACCTCAGAATGACTGATCTCAAGAAGAGATCAGCTGACACTGTCATTGAAAGTACTATGAAGATTAATCACTGATTGAAGAGAATCTCACTTCAACTGAAGCAGATGACTGAGATACTTTGCAAGTTAATAAGTTGATATTTTATACATTTCTCATGTTCTTCTATGACACTGCAGCACTAACTTCTCAGCAGACAAAGATATCAGTGTCAGAGACTTCAACAGTGAAGAATGAGTTTGATGAGAGTGTGATTATTGATAAGTAGACTCTGAAGTTCCTTCTTTTTACTTTTTCAGTGAGCTGCAGTCTCATTAGATTAGCAGCAGCTTGCAGGTCAATTAATATTAATCTTTTTATTAATTTCAAATATTTCTTTCTTTTCCTTATTAACTGCTTCAGGAATTTTACACTTGTGTAGTCTCATTAAACTTCTAAAAAACTCTTTGAGAGAAAATAGAAGAAGAGTGCTACAGAGTCTACAAGATGTCAGCTCATCACTGCAAAATCATCTCTAAAAAACTCTTTGAAAAAATGAGAAGTCTTAAGCAGCATTTCTTATTCAACATCTCTGATGTGTAACAGAGCAGTCTCTACTAGTCATCTTATAGGTTGCAATCTCTTTCTCAGCATTTTTCAAATGCTCAAGTGATTCTTATAAATTCTCTGATAATGAATAATCTTTTCATTTAATAAGATATTGAAGCTTACTGTAATGTATTCACTTATTCAATATTTTCTTTACAAGATATTCAGTATCACTCTCAATCTTAATATTATTCAGTCAAGATGACTCTGCTCTGAGATATTACTTATAGAGCTTCAAATAGAAAATGTAGAAAATAGAATGAATTAATTTCAATTCTGTGAATAATTTTAACTTATATATCTGCTTACTTATCACTCTTATTATCAGAAAAGATTCTAGTCATCACTCACTGAGCTTCTTACACAGTCTTGTTATCTTGATATTCTTTGCTGAAAGTAGTACTTAATCCTCTATCAAGAACTTCATCAGAAGATATTTTCAATTATAGTATTCTATCTATCACTTCTAAGCACAGTGAATGCTTTTCACTGCCTTCTCATGAATTTTATTTAAAAGTTTCAATCTCACTTTTACTTCTGACACTGAGAAATACTCTGTTCTCTGTATCTGTCTGACATTCTGACTGTCTATCTTCTTCTTTGAAATATCATTCACAATATCACTGAGTAATAAAGAATTATATTCATAACAAGTATAGAAAGAAGATATCTTTAAGATTACATTCTTTGTATTGTTATATATGAATTCAGCA